GCGGTGAGCCCGGCGGCCAGGAGAGAGGAAAGGGGGGCATACCGGTAGGGGCGGAATAAAAAAGGGGGAGGTGGAGCGGGCGGGGGGCGAGCCGGAGACGGCGGAGCAGGCTCGTGGCTCAGAGAGAGGGCCCAGGGCGCCTTCTGCCGCAGCCAACCCAACTCTCGGCGCTCCTCTAGCGGGAAGTTGCTGGACGCGCTCGGGCCCCGCGACGTTTGCCAGCGGGCGGGAGGACGCTCGCGCCGAGAGCTCAGCCAGATCTTTTTGCCCATTACGTTGGCTGCCCGGCGGGAGATCCCGACAGACACCGCCGGCGTTTTCAGCGTTGTCAGGGATGATGGACGTGGAGCATCTCGGCTCCATTCTCCAACATCAGTGAACAACTGGCAGAGTGGCGGGTTTCAGTGGAACTGGGGGGCTTGATGTTGCCACAGCCCTCACCTGCGTACTGGGCTGTGCCCCACCCAATTTGTGACCTCCTCCTTTTGAGGGGAGACGTGTACGGGGCAGAGGGCTGCTGGAGCCGACACATTATCAGTGGGAGGGGAGGAAACTCCTCCGGGGGAAACTATGATGAGACGACGGTCGGTCGCATAGTCAGATGTTGGGCATTTTTATCCATCTATCGAGTCCTTCCTAAGGACCTGGGATAGGCAGATGTTGTTTGACAGCGCAGAAGGCATCATCCTGTGGCAGGGAGTCAAGTGCCTTCTTGCTATCAATCCAAGCTGCATTCAAGCTGGTCTTCCTTCTCCTGCAGTTTTCCAGAATCATCTTGTCAATCAGGAGCTGATCTTTTGTCCCTCTGCTGTTTGGGCGGTTTCCTTTCTGCTCAGATGGAAAGGCCTTGTTTCCAAGAGCTAGATGCTGTCGGACTGCATCAGCTACCGCACCAGTTAACAATTTGAAAGTTATTATTATTATTGTTATTTATTTGAATTTATTGGCTGCCCAATTCTAATGGATTCCGGGCAGTATACAAAACTAGAGAAAACATAAAAACAGCTAAAAACATTAGACGGACAGCCCAGACTAAAATTATGTAATAAACAACAAAATCAACAAAACAAAAGAGGGGCCCTGGACAACCCCAGGCCTGGCACCAGAGCCAGTTTTTTTTTAAATATTTTTTTTATCCTGCCTATCTTATTTTTACGAATAACTCAAGGTGGCAAACATACCTAATCTCCTTCATCCTCCTCTTTTCCCCACAACCACCACCCTGTGAGGTGAGTTGGGCTGAGAGTGACTGGCCCAAAGTCACCCTTAGGCTTTCGTGCCTAAGGCAGGACTAGAACTCACTGTCTCCAGCTTTCTAGCCTGGTGCCCTAACCATTAGACCAGACTGGCTTTTCAAAGCTTTCCGGAACCCCAGGAGAGAGGTTCCATCCTTATCTCTGGGGGATGCTGGTCCAGAGGGTGGGGGCCATGATAGAGGAGGCACGCTTCCTTGGTCCCATAAGACGACCATGTTTAATGGAGGGGACTTTGTTGGAATGTAATGGCCAGGCAGAAACGATTGAACATGAGCAGTTTCTCAGATATCCAGATATCTTGGACTTAGTGGAGAAGCTGCACCCTAAGAAAGTTAGTCCTTTGCCCAGAAAAATCTGAGAGACCTAAGTTGAACAAAAGACCTGGTATAATTTGCATGTCAGGGAATGCACCTTGAAATTAGAAGATCATGTTCGACTGGTATGCACCAACAAGGTAGCCTGGGAGGGTCACCACCACATTAAAGAGAAGGTGGGTCAGGTGAACTATGTTGCAGAACCTCCAAGAATAAGGCTCAGATCTAGATTATACCATGTAGACACCTGCGTGGGAGTTCCTGATTAGGGTTGTTTGGGAGTTTAGCACAGGGATGGAGTCCAGCAGGGTAGACTCTTACTTTGACAGAAGAAAGAGAGAGAAGTGCAGTTAAGTCAGAAAATTCTGAACTGTTCACCGCATGCCAGGACTTATTAACCTGGCCACCCACGCCATGGCCCCAGGGAGAGTAAGCTGATGCATCACAGTGAAACTACTTGGCAACCCCATGGTGGGCATGCAATGGGGTGATCTTGAAAGTCTCTAGTCATCCTGTTCCCCAAGCCTGGAGGAGAAATCTATTTCTCTGTGGACTACAGGGAAATAAAGGGAATAAAATCAAAACTGGAAACCCATGTCTTGCTGGAGTGGTTACAAGGAGCCAAATACATTTCCACCCTGGATCTGACCAAAGAATACTGGCAGGTGCCACAGGCAGAAAGAGAGGAGGAAATAACTGCATTTCCCACCCAGCATGGGTGATTTGAATTTAATATCCTCCCATTTGGTCTTCAGAATGCTTCTGTAATCTTTCAAAAACTGACCAATGAGCTGCTTGGGGATTTTAATGACTTTACCAGGATGTATTCAAATGCTATGACCATTTTTTCCACCATCAAGAGGGACACTGGAACATCTGGAAGTGGTGTTCTGATGCATTGAGGCCCAGGCTAAGTGCCAGATCTTGAGAAACAGTTCTATATTAATCACTGAGAGGGGCACTGTGGAGGTGTTACAAGTGGGTACAGCCCACGATCATTTGGTAGTTCTTCAGGAACAGGGAATCACATCGGTCTGTGCTGTATTGACTAGGTGCCATCGCTCTACAGCCAGGACCCAGATACAAAGAGCCAAGCAAAGTGATCTATAAAACCATAAGGTGAGGCCTAGGTAAAGTGACTGTGGAAGCCTGGAGGTGCATAATTCAGACTAAGAAGAAAAAATTATTACTGAAGGGGCAGGATAGGAAGAGTATTAACACCTTTGGACTTGTGTGTTGGAGAAGTCTCCTGAGAATACCATGGACAGCCAAGAAAACAGACCAATGGATCAACCCAGAGTTTTCACTCAAGGCACAAATGACCAGGCTCCAATTATCCTACTTCGGACACATATGCAAAGCCCCAGCTCTCTGGAAAAGGTTCTAATGCTGGGAAAGATGGAAGGAAAGAGAAGAAGAGAACAAGCAGCAGCAAAGGGGGTGGACTCAGTTGCAGTGGCCATGGGGGCACCATTGGAAGGCCTGAAGGACCAAGTTGGGAACAGATCCTCCTGAGGAAAATCTGTGTGGTTGCTAGAAGCTGAAAACTACTTGATGGCACATAATCAAGCAAGCAAGCTACTGACTCTGCTGCCAAGTCACAACTGATGATGTCCAAAGGCCAATCCTGTATCAAGGGAGGGAGCCAGAAAACAGGTTGCATCTCTGGCAAGAGTGCAAGGCCCCTCATGCCACACACTGGCTTTAAGTCCTAAGATTTGAGGAAGGGAAGAGATGCATCAGGACACAGCCAGCAGTGGTGCTCCTAAGGCGGAACAGGAAACAGGCTAAAATACAAGGAAGGTGAGGCTTAGGATAGCTGCAAGGGCAATGACAATGGCAATCAGAGGCTGGCGAGCTCTGTGAATAGGCTGGGCAACTGGTGCCCTTTAAATGTTTTGGACTACAACTCCCAGCGCCCCAGTCTTTGAGTATATTGGGGCTAAGCGGGAACTAGGTTAATTAATTTTTACAGACGAGGGAGACAGAAGTCCCACCGTGGGCTGGGTTCTTTTGATTGGGTTCAAACATTGTTTTAACCATGGTTTTCTAAATGAGCCTCAGCTTCTGGAGTTGACAGTTAACGATGGCTTACAAATCACAAAGTTGTTCACACAACATGTACACCAATTAAGTAAACCATCTCATGGCTTAGCATGATATGTGAACTAGGCTGGTATTGTGATTTTTTTTCTAGGATAAAAGCCCAGCTGGCCACATCCTCTTTTTTTCCCCTTTACCAGGAACATTTCTCACCTTCCTGCCTTTATTTGCAGCCACTGTAAACTTGAAGCAATGCTTGGACTAAAAGGCAGTCAGAATCAGCAAGCAGGCATTGCTTCAACTCACAGGTAAGGAGTGATTTATTTTATTTTAAAATAAAAAGAAGATATACAAGTAAGGGCTTGGATGAGTTTTTCCTCTGTCCTTTCGGTCCACAGAAGAGGGATCAATAGGGAAGAAATACTGCACCTGAAGAACTGACTTTGGTTCTTCTAGCATGATAGTTTGATTTCCAGTGGTTTTGTCAAATCTTTCAAAAATGCTGATTTGGGATACCTAATGATCAGCCATCCTGTCACTTGTGTGTGCACCTCTTACATTTTTTCAGGAGTGTACACCCAATGCTCATATGACTGTTTATAGCAGGAACAACAGCTGAGAAATCAGGTCCACCTACAGGCACCCCATCATTCCTGAAGTGCAGAATGTCCCATGACGATGGCCAACAGATGAATCAGGAAAAGAAAAGTTCTCCAAACTTTCCTAGGTGAAGGACCCTGTTTTACCAAAAAAACAAAAAAAATCCCTGGCCCAAGGCATCTTGGGCAGACTGCAGTGAGAGCACTCATAGGGCTCCTGTGTGGAATATTCTGGCTATTTGGTGGATAGTCGCTCAGATTTGCTCTGACTTGGATTCCGACTTGGCAGGTCTGGCCAAAGTGTCTTGACATCTGGAATGAGTTTGAACTGGTAACTCCTGAGGAGGTGGACAGGGTTCTCTGCACTGTTAGGCTGACCACCTGTAAGCTGGATCCGGGTCCCTCCTGGATCATGAAAGCAGCCAGGGAGGTGACCTGGAGTTGCTGTGCACAACATCAGTGCTGTGGTGTTGGCTCTTTCACAAAGGGGGTGCCTTTAGCCTTAAAAGAGGCAGTGGTATACCCCCTCCTCAAAAGGCCATGCTTGGACCCAACAGTTTTAGATAACTACCACCCTGTCTCCAACCTTCCCTTTTTGTTGAAAAAATGGTAGGACTTCAGAGAACCCTGGAGGAAGCAGATTATCTAGACACATTTCAGTCAGGTTTCAGGCTGGGTTTTAGCATGGAAGCAGTCTTAGTCATACTTGTAGATGACCTGTGCCAGAGCTGGGATGGAGGTGTGTGCCCATCCTTGTGCTCCTTGATCTCTCAGCAGCTTTTGATACCGTCCACAATGGTATCCTTCTGAGCCTGTTCCATGGGTTGGGGATCAGGGTTCTATGGGCTGGTTCCAGTCAGTGTTGGCTGGTGGGGAGAGACTGTCCCCTCAGCCCCTCCTGTGTGGGGTGCTGCAGGGTTTTATTCTCTCTCCCCTCCTTTTCAACATCTACGTGAAACTGCTGGGCGAGTCATCCGTATGCTGACGATACCCAGTTATAACTTTCGATTCCGGGCCGGCCAAGTGAGGCTGTCGGGGTCCTCTCCCAGTGCCTGGAGGCTGCACGGGTTTGGATGGGGAGGGACTGCCTCAGACGCAATCCTAACAGGACGGAGGCACTGGTTTTGTGACCGCTTGCTTCTGGGGATGTTCCATCTTTCACCTAGGATGGGGGTGCGCTTCCCCATTCAAGGGTGATGCACAGTCTGGGGGTGTTCCGGGCTCACAGCTCCCGCTTGATGAGGAGGTGGCAGCTGCGACCAGGAAAGCCTTTGCACAACTCCATCTGGTGCACCAGTTGCACCCTTTCCTAGACTGGGAGGCCCTTCAATCGGTCACTCAAGCCTTGGTCACCTCATGGGGCTGCCCTTGAAGACCACCTGGAAGCTTCAACTAGTCCAGAAGGTGGCAATGCAAGCAGTGACGGGCACGCCTTGGTGTGCGCATGGGACACTTTTGCCTTGCGGCTGCGCTGGCTGCTGGTTTGCTTCTGGGTGCTGGTTGCTCCTGGCTGATTCCATCCTGCGGGTTGCGCGCCGGGCCCCTCCGCTACACGACTTCTCTCGGGGCCCGCAGCGCCCCTCCTCTCTCA